GACGTATTACCTGCGAGTAGCTACCGCTCGCAGGTGTTTTAGCGGACTGTATTAATGAATGGAGCGAGATTCCTCGTACCTCCTATGCTCGATAAGAGGATCGATTTCTCTTATCGAGCTGACCGATTCAAAATTCGGTAGCGAAGCGAGCAATCGCCGCGCTCGACGCCGGTCCCTTTCCTTCAGGGAAATGACCGACTGCAGCCTCAATGCTGCTCAAACGTTGAGCTTCCTTTCGGAAATTGTCTCAACGTTGGGCTCGATTCACCTGTCCTCGAAACCCGTTGAAGAACGCGGACGAGTTTGCGACGAGCACGTCGTTCCAAACCGTCGTTCCGGACTTGCTTAAAAAAGCTACAGCCTATAAATGCTATAGGTAAACGCCTATTTAGTGACGGATACCGGGAGTCGGGAACGCGTTGTGGAGTTGGGCGTAAATCAACTCCAGTTAAATTGGGACGATGCCGTCTCAAACAGGAACTTTTACCGCCAAAAGGCAAAGAGAGTAGACACTCAAGGTCTTAGTCTCGATAAAAGCCCCCTAACTCGATCGCACTGAACTCAAACCGTTCAATTGCGAGAGGCGAGTACGTCGAACTCGACTGTACGCCGATGCAGATTGTAATTTCTACAATCGGCCGCACAGCGGACTGAAAAGCTCAGACTCGCTGCTCTCAACAATATTTAAGACTGAGAGTACCTCTGTCTTAAATCAACTCCTAAGAGTTATTCGATCGCTGTACAGATAAATTCTGTTTCCACGCGTATCGAATCTTGATCGATGGCTGCGAAGAGGAGCACACTCTTCGACGATCCAGTTCGGAATAATAATCCATCGGCAATCACAATCGTTCGAGCACGATTATTTGCGACTGCGCAAATGATGGAACAGTTCGTCCTTTTCCTTGAAATGGAATTGTCTCGCGCTATTACGTAATTCTTTCGCTATTAGATCGTATGGCCGAATTCCGATGACGATCAATATAATAGCGGTATTTAGAAATCTCTGTTCCTGTGCGTGCCGTATATTTGTATTTTTTCGCTCGAGACTCTTACGAGTCGACCGAGCGGCTAGCGGCTTAAGAGATTAACTATTGTCTTCGCATTTCTTCTATTTGATGTTCCCAATTCCCGGAACATCGAATTCCAGCGATTGACGATACCGTCAATCCTCCAGGAATAAATTGCGAAGTTTTTAGAAGTGCATGTAACTCATGCGGAACCTTCTTATTTAATCACGAATCTCTAACACAGTATAAGTGCTATGAATATTTCTCGCTCTCTCAACTTTAATAATACGTGTTAAAGTGGGTACTCACTAGCGAACAGGGTTTACGAACACTGTTTGTGAACTGTTCGCAAACTTTTGTTGAAATTTTCGTTAGATTAGCGAACATCTCGTGAACATCTCGCGAACAGTACTGTGCTTGTATTGAAATGATTTCCGGTAGGGAAAGCCTCATAAGACTTGTTGCGCTATAAATCTCATCAGTACCAGCGCTGCTAGAATACAGGACTTCTCTTCCTGTGCTGTCACCTATAGTAAATCCCCCCCCCCCCCCCCCCCC